CCGACCTGGGGCGGGGGAGGGGACGCCGAGTGGCCCGGTGGCTCGGGCCGGGCCGGAGGCGGCGCAGTCCGGGCGGGAGGAGCTGGCGCGGTTTCCCGCCTCGGGAATCCCTGGATGGCGGGCGGAGCGGGCGGGAAGCCGTCCCCGGGGACCGAGCGCCGCCGTCTCGGCTACAGGAGGAGGCAACTTTCAGGTCGGGTTTCCCGCGGCCCCTCCGCTCCCTGAGGGCTGTGAAGGGTCGCATCAGCCCCGTGGCCGCCCGGTCCTGCCCGCGGGAACGAGGGGACCGAGACGTCTGGTCTTGCCCCGCCCGCAGGTCCCCAGCATGTCCTCCTCGGCCTCCGCTGCGGAGGGAGACGGAACCTCCGCGCAGTCCGCGTCCGAGAAGGAACCCCAAGTGCCCGGCCAGAGAGAAAGTGAGGAGGAGGACGAGGAGGACGATGACGACGAGGAGGACGAGGAAGAAAAAGGTGGGGAGGGGGGCGCATCCCTAGTGATGGAGTTTCCAGACTGAAGTTTGTTTGTTTTTTTTTCCAGGAAACTGTTTTTCTTGCTCTCTTGGCGCTTAAATCGGAGTGACTTTCAGCAAGAATGTGTGCGAAATCTGTTTTGTGTTCAGCGATGGCAGAGAATTGACTTTGTAAATTCCAATTCTTAGGATATTTGTTAGCGTTGTGATGTGTTTTGGAAGTCAGCTCCTCTCGCTTGATAATACGTTCATGGCATTTCATCATTTGACAGGAAGTTTGTTAAGTCTCAGATCTGTTTTTTAGATCAGTGTGTGCGTTCACCCTTGAAGTTGCTAAGAGAATGTCTTATTTTAGCTTGGCTAATTTCATAACACATCCTTTGCCTTTTGAAGTTATGGTAAGGTCTGTAATGTTGACCACACGTTAAGACTTAAGTTATTAACGCTAGTTCTGGAAGTGTTTTAGTACTTTAAAATATTAAATTATTTATTGAACATCCGCAGAGGTCCTCTTCAAAGGAGAGTTTCTTTGACTGGGAAACACCGGTGAGAGTTGTTGGCTGCTTGAGAAAGTAGTTAAAAATGAAAAGTGAACCGTGAAAGAAATGTAAATATGAGCCCTGAACTGTTTCGGTTTTGGAGCTGAGTCTGCCCCAAGAGAGGGCGGTATTAACCATAATTAAACTGGAGGCCTGAAACCAGAACCTTACAGAGCTAAGTAGTTGGACTGTGTCAGTTCATACAAGATGCAGGCTGCACTCTGAGGTATGCCAGCTTTCTGAGATGTTGCCAACCATTTAAAAATCCAAGTCACAGCTCTTAGCATTCTTTGATGGTATTGGCCCAATTTAGATTTATTTCATATATGGCTACAACTTGGCCAAATTCAGGAAGAGGTTAAAGTTCTTTTCCCAAACCCACGTTTAACTGTCAGTTTCTTTTAAGCCTAAACCAATTCGTGATCACCACTTTATAAATATGGTCTGAGTTAAAATTACAAGGTGTATGTATTTAAAGTGGTATGTGCCCTAAGGGAGCATCTCCATATTTAAGTATAGCATTGCTCTTAATTATAAATTTTGATGTAAATTATTGCTTAATTATTAATGTTATTTTTTGATTACTCGTAATGCAATAACTGAAAATTGGTTTCAGTATCTCACTATTAGCCAAAGACTTTCTCAGCACTGTTCTTTCCAATTTTTTGTTTGTTTTGAGTCTTTGGGGGGAAACAGGGTTGAGATACCACAGAGATGATGAGTTTTTTATCAGGAAAAAATTAGAGAAGTCATGTAAATATACTATAAATGACCAATAAAGTGATGCAGTAATTTAAGGAATGTGGTATTTTGTTCTAGATGAATAAACTGTGATCTTTTTAAACATGATTTTGTAAAAAGTTTATCTCCTAACAGTTTTATAGTTCTTATTTATTATTATTTTTGTTTACTCATTTGAGAGGTGTTTGTAGGACAAATAGAATTGTGAAAATTTTATTCTACTTGGCCCTGAATATTTGACTCTAATACTAAGGCATCTGAAGCAAGGCAGTAAAGTGAATGAAGTCGGTGCTTACGGGTCAGAATTGGCAGTGGTTTTGGGGGGATGGTGGTGGTGAGAGAAATGACTAATAAAACATGACTCCTGCGTTTCTGTGTTTGGCAGCTGGATGAATGTTATCACTTTTCTGGAAAAAATTCACATAGGTGAGCAAGTTTGGAGATGATTATGACTTCTCTTTTGGATTTGTTGAGTTTAGGTGCTTGTAGGACATGAAGTGGAGCTGTCCAGGTGGCTGCTAGGCATGTATTAGTTGATCTGAATCTCAAGAAAACTCTGGTCTGTAGATAGACAGGAAAGTCATTAGCTTATAGATGGTAATCAGAGGCAAGCAAATGGTTTAAATCACTCAAGGAAAGGAAGTTGAGTGATAACAGGAGTTGCTTTAGTAGTGCTTGCGCTTCATTCTGCACACTACTGCCAGAATATGACTGCTGATTTCCCTTTCTCCAGACTCATTCTCTGTGCAGATCCTTACATCCCCAAATCTTACCAGTCTTTCAAAGCGAGTGCCAGTGTTTTGATCCTTTTTCCCTAGTCCAGAAATGATCAATCCCTCCTCAATTCACAGAACTTCTATATGTATCTTTCTTAAGGTGTTTTATCATCTACAGTGGAGTATAATATTTGTGTTTCATTTCTCTAGTAGACATGATCTTTTTCAAAAGATGTTCAATGTCTTAATCATGTATTCGTCCCCTTTTAGTAATGAGTGCAGCTTTGTACAAAGCAGGCATTCATTTGAGTGGAAGGACCTCCAACAATATATACTGTTCTTTTATTTATCTGACTTTATTTCAATCAGTAGGTAAATGGTTTTAGATGAATCGATCTTAATGTTTTAAATTTTGAAGTGTATGCTACATATTTCCTAGTTTTTTTTTAAGCAATCTGGACTAAACAGAACTTAACTTTTTTCAGAGTAATTTATGGCCATCATTGTGAACATCATTTATTAAACTACGAAGTAATGCTCTCCCAGTTTATTGCAGTAAATGTAAACTTATAGAATTTTTATCTTTCCAGTAATTCTAGGCTGTTATTCCTGTAGGTCCTTGTTTTTATCTATTTAATCAACTTACTAAATTATTACTGTTCTCTGTATATCATTTGAAACTCTTAATCTTCCTAGGCTAAACTTGCTATTTGTTATATACAACAAACAGTGAATCACAATAAACAGAATTATGTCTAAACAAAGGGAAAAAAAAGCTTAGTGAGAGCCTAGATGATTTTTCACATAAAGTGTCTAGATTTTATAATTGTATTTGAATAAAAGTTTGTTTTGTTTTCTGATTTTTTTTTAACTGGGTCCCTGTGAGTTTGCCAGGTAAGTAAAATGTTATTCTAAAAAAACTTCCATGGTGCTATTATTAACTTACCAAGTGTTTTCATCTTTTATGTCATTTGCTTCTCAAAACCATGCTCAGGAGAAAAATAAGATATTAGGTTTATGGAATCTTCTTTCTGCATGATTATCCAATAAAGCTAATACATTCTTTGAACTTTTTATTGTTTAATAAATACTAAATTAATTTCTAGAAAAGAGTCTCATCGTGGAAGGCAAGAGAGAAAAGAAAAAAGTAGAAAGGTTGACAATGCAAGTCTCTTCCTTACAAAGAGAGCCATTTACAATTGCACAAGGTAAGTTTATTCTATGTTCCTTTCATTTTATGGTGAAAAGGCCTAAGTATACAAAAATGATGGTTAGCAGTGCTTAGAATTAGGAGAGTATTTAGTTTTAGTAAGTAGTAATATACTTTTGGCACAATTTTATTTGCCCCATTAGAGCAAGAGTTGTATGTAAATTGTGCTATAAAAATAATTCTTATTAATGTTGTAAATTTATAAATAAGCAGTATTATGGTTTTTTGTTTTTGTTTTAGGAAAGGGGCAGAAACTTTGTGAAATTGAAAGGATACATTTCTTTCTGAGTAAGAAGAAAACGGATGAACTTAGAAATCTACACAAACTGCTTTACAACAGACCAGGCACAGTAAGACTTTTTTTTTTTTTTTTTTACATCTTTAACCTATTTGCTTATTATGTACTAATATACCTCACAGTAAAAGCATAAGTTTAGTTCTGTAAAAGACTTTAGTCAGCTAATTCAATTTCCACACTATATATATGAGTAGGCAAACTGAAACATATTTGTTAAATGATTTATCACAAGACATATAGATGGATATTAGCATATAGAATTGTAATATCCAGGGCTTTTTATCCCAGACTGAAATTTCAGATTATGAAATCCAAATTATGATGATTTTGTGATCTTTAAATGTATTAGAAAAAAATTATATTTTGGATATTCTCGTCATTCAGAATAAATGATTTGGTATAATTGTATCTCATTTTGAGCAAATATCTAATAAATGGGTGGTAATTCTTTGCAAAAGGATTTGTTATTATACGTAACTTAGAATTCCACATAATTGAGGAAACTTTGCTTTGGGTTGTGCATGGGCAAAGTAAAATTTGATGCTGTTAGAAAAGAATGTCTGAAGTATGGTATAATTTGTATAATCTCAATCCTCACAACAATCTAATTTATACAAGTCCCATAACTGGTAAATGATATTAACTTTTTTTTTTTTTTTTTTTTTTTTTTTTTTTTTTTTTTTTCGTGTCCGGCAACGGATCCCAACCCCCCG